TTTCTTTTTTTTGGCGAGTTTCAGTATGACGGAGTTTTTCTTGCTTACAAAATATGAGAAAAATCGATAACAAAATTCATTCATAATTTTTTCTTATGTGAATTCATTCCTAGATCCAGAAGGATGTTTTTTTTGGAATTTTTCTCGAAAAAAGGGTTGTCTTTATGAATTGTGAATTTCTGTCGTTGACATGTTCAACTAAAGAAATGCGTTTTTTCTGTTGAAATCATCATCGTTGCTTCGACAATGACGATGACGACGACAACTATCATGAATCTAATGATTCGAATAATGTTGATGATAATGATGATGATGATAATAACCAAAATGACCATAACACATCCATACAGAATCCTGAATGAATGATGCGTAGGATTTACGCCATTAATTTTATTTTTACTGTCTTTGCTGTATGATTGTATTTATGATGAATCTCATTGAGAAAAAAGAAATGACCATTTTATTTGATGATGTGTTGTCGTTGCTGGGCGCCAAAATAAAAACATTATTTATTAACAACACTGTTTGGCCTATTTTCAGTGATTTTGTTTGTTTTCATTTTGAACGAAATTTTCGTTCGAAAATCGAAAATCGAATTGGTCAATGTGATTAGCGTAGGTTTTGTTCTGGAAAATTAAGAATTTAAATTTTAAAAAAGTTTTGTGAAATTCGTGTCCAGAATATTCATTTCATTTCAAAGAAATATGAAAATCCATTACCAAATATGATGATGGTTTAAGCCGAAATTTTTTTCCCAAAGAATTTTTTATTTGAATTTTCATTTTTCGATTTAATTCGGTTCACAAAACAAAACAACAGCCAAGGAATTTGATTTGATTCGAGATTTTTCCAATTTTCTGTTTTGTTTGTTTGTGTTCCGAAATCGTTATAAATATAAAGGAAATAAATAAATAAGAATTTTTTTCCATCATCATCATCATTGCCTCTTTAAAATTTATGAGATGAATGGAAAAAGATTTTCTTTTAATATGATGATGGTGTGTGGCGGTACATGATGTTTTCCATTTCATTTCGTTCAATAAGATCGAAGATTTTCGTTTCTTTGGCCCTTTTCTATATATCTTTTCTATCAGCGAAAGAGATAGAGAATCAAGTTTGTAGCAGTAGTGGTTGTTGGTTGGCCATGGCCTATGTGTATGATGCTTACGTTTATTGTGGTGGAATTCGTTCCACGTTGTCTTAGGTTTTTTTCTGGTGGCCATGACTGAGAAAGCTTTTCCTGATTTGCATCATCATTATTGTGTGTGATGCTATGCTACTACTATACATCTATACCCAAATTCAACTTGAATTAAAAAAAATTTTTTTTTTTTGGTCTCAAAAGTTGTTTTTTTCTCAAAAACTAAGCAACAAATTTCCTTTTTTTTGAATATTTGTTGTTACAATATCGAATGAATGATATGGATTATTTATGACATATTTTTATTCACAAGCAGAGTGTTTGCCTATATTCATTTTTTCGTTTTGTTTTTTGCTCGAATTTGAAACAAAACAAAACAATAAAGTCAACGATGACAATATGTGTATGAAAAAGTGAGAGAAAAGAAATCGGAGATGCGAAAAGTTTATCCCATAATCATCATCATCATCATAATCGGGCTTCATTCTTGATTTCATTTTACACTTTTACTTTTTCTTTCGATTCTCCTCCGGTTTGTTTCGGTATATTCAATATGTAATTTTTTTCATCTTTTTTCGCGATGCTGATGCTTATTACCCGCATTATTGTATCCGATTACTATCATCATTGGAAAAAGTGAAAACTTTCTGACAAGAAATTTATGTTTGGATATTTTAATAATGATTATCGTGATCATCACAAGATGATGGTGATCGGACGCCTCACACACACACATCATTATTATATGAAAAGAAGAAAAAATGTTCTTAATGTTTGTCACCACCACCATTACAGATTATGATGATATTTGGTTTTAGGTTTTGGGCGTCATTACATTGCTCTATGTTTGTGTTATGTGTTATGAATGCAAAATATTGGCAATATATTCTGTTGGTTAGTTATATTGTTTTTAATCCTCACCAATAATAACTTTTGTTGTGTAATGATAATAACAGCAGAAAGATATCACACATGATGATAATGACATGCTAGATATTACATTGCACCATATTATTCATATTGGATTGATCAGCAAAAGTTTACAACAACAACAAAATCTGATCGTCAATCTGATAGTTTTGGGTTTCTGCTGATGATGATGATTTCAGCTGCTCAGATTTCAATTCAGTGTTATGTTTTTTCTTGTTAATCCGGCATTAATCATCATCATCTGTATCACTTATGTTTGTTTTATTCATATAGGGCGCTTCATTTTAATTGTTTCGACTTTCAACAAAAAAAGAAATGAAAAAAAATCAATCGTTTTTTCGTGTTCGAAAAAAATGATGAATGACATTCTTGAGAATTTTTTCGAATGTTAATATGACACACGCACAACCATAGTAAATTTGCTTTTTGTCAAATTCAAGCACAATCACCATGCATGACCGTTTTAGTTGTTGTTACACTATTGGAAAATTATTCATTTCATTTTTTCGTTCTTTATTTTTATTTATGAGACATGTCAAATCTCAAACAAAAATTTCTTATCAAAAAAAATTCATTTCATTTTCATATGACGACAATTTTTTTTCCTTTCGTTCATTTCACGTTGTGTTCCGGAATATTGGAAATGTTCTTAGTTAGTTAGGTAGTTGAAATTTGCATTTGGAATCATTTTCATTATTATATGGTGATGATGCTTGTAAGCAAGCAAAACTTTTTTTCTTGGTTTGAAATGTTGGTACAGTCGGTGTGTGTAATTACAGTGTTTTTTCATTGCAACGATGACATTCTACTTATTCTCATTTTCAAGATTCCTTATTATTATTATTAAATATTTCATGTTTGCAACAACATCATCATCACTTTATGTATGAATGGGTAGCCTTTGGCAACTTTTTCCTGTCATCATCATCATCATCTTATTATGTCTATGATGGAAAAGACATGATCATTGAACAAAGTAAAAAAGAAAAAAATCCCAAAATTCTTTTCTGATACTTTTTATTATTAATGTCGCTTGTTTCTCTGGTTGGAAAAAATGAGCATAAAACGAAAAATGGCCAATCTTTTTTTCACAATGTGCCATATGCCAACACACAAAATGATGATGATGACCGTCGTTGTTGTCGATGAAAATCCTATGATGTTGGCCATTTGGAACCAAAGTAATAATGATAATGATTTGATATTTTTTCTCTGTGTATGTCAGTCGATTTGAAATTTTTGTTTTTTGTTGGAGAAAATAGAAAAGAATATAAAGAATGAAATGTGTTAATCCTGATAAATCGACATGTTTTCTATATCTATCTTGTGTAATTCTTCGTTACAGTTTTACAATTCTGTTTCTATTTTGCCAAAATTCTTTATTTCTTTTCGAAAAGATTCTATTTTCGTGATAGTTTCGGCACGTTGCTAAACGCCAAAAGAATACGGCATCAAAATCTACCAGTTTGGCGTTTTTTCTTCCTTCTGGTTAAGTTATTAATTAGACAAGACACACACGCAGAGAGATTCTATAAAGAAAAACTTTTTTTCTTCAACCAAAAAAACTTAATTCTTCATGCTTTGCTTTGTCATTTTCTTTAATAATTTTTTTGGGTTTCTTACCATGATATCTTTTTTATCATCATTTTCATTCCGAAATCCGTTCTGTGGGTGGTTTTCGATATCCGAAAAAAAACTTTTTTTGCGATGTAATGTCACTAACACAACGACGACGATGATCATCCAGAATAGTAATGATGATGATGACATTATGTGGCCGATTCCGACAATGTTTTTTTTTCTTTTCTTCGGGTTTTTTTCTGTCATTATGGCTAGCCGCCGTTCTAATAATGATGATTTACGAGTTTTTTCGTTTGTCGTTGGTTTCCGTTTTTTTACTCTTTTTGGGTGACATTTATAGCCATATTTATTTCTAATAATTTTTTAGATCCGGAATGAAACAAAAAACGAATCGTCAATCCGATTTCTGTAAATCGATTGACGATTTTTTTCGAAACGCATCATAATCTTCAGTGTTTGTCTCTCTGAAGATAGACATTGATAAACAAGCAAGCATAACAAGAGATAATAATAATTTTCCATATCATAGCATAGTTGTATGATGGGGGTATTTCATTTTGATGATGATGATCATCATGATTGTCAGTGGTTCCTCTTATCAGATAATCATATTATTATAATGATGATAATAATAATCTCATTCATACGCATCGTTGATTTTCGTTACATTATTCTCTATGGTTGTTGTTTGGTTTGACTAGTTGAAAAATGGCAAGCAAGCAGCAAGTGAATAAACTTTGTGATTCTTTTGCATTGATAATGATACAATTCTTGATTTAAATTTCTTTTATCCTTGTGCGAAAATTGTCCGTTTTTTCGTCTGTGTTCGTCATGTGTGACCGGGGAATCGATTGTATTTTTTTTTCCGGATGAAAAAAGTGTCATAGTTTGGTTATCAATCGATCGATTGATTGATTTTTTACTTTGATAAAAATATGACTAAAATATGTTTTTTTTCTCTTTGTATTTTACAGGATTCTTGAATGTCAACATTATGTAAAAACAAAAAAAAACTTTTGAACTTGTGATTTTTGATCAAAAATTTTGAAATTTTCATCTACAAAACAAAACACAAAACGACGAATGAAGAATGGTGATGCAACATCATTATTCGTCGTCGTTTAATAATGGTTCGATGAAGAGAAAGAGATGGACAAATGATAGTGGTGATTATGATGATAATGATGAAATAACATTACTGATGCCATCAACAACAACAATGACAACAGAAACAAATTCGGCAATGCCAACCGAATCATCATTACATAATGGTGATGATGATGATATTTTAATAGATAATGTTTGTCATCATCATAATCATCATCCTGATTATAGATCAAGATTATCATCATCGACAACCAACAAATTCAATCAATCAATAATTGCCAAATATTGCTCATCATCATCAATGTTATTTCAATGTAAAAATATTTCCAATTCAAATGATCATCACAGCCAATCATCATCAACAAAGACCACGACTATTCGACGACCAAATTCTCATTTGACAATGTTATCATTCATCATTTTAGCCATCATTGTTTCAGTGATGATGAATGGTGCTAATGTTGTTGATGGTGGACTAGTCCATGGACAACAGCAACAACAAGAAACCAAAAAAGGTATGTGGCTTTTTTTACTTTCTTTCATTCAAATGATAATAATTTGTTCACGCGATAAATATTTGTTCGGGCCAAGAATAAATAATATTTCTTAAATAATCGAAATGATCGATCATCATTAAATATAGCAAGATTTGACAAGTAGCTTTAGCTATGATTAAATTTGATTTTGGATATTTGATATTTCATCGTCGTCCGAATGCGAATAGAATCCATCTTTTCTTTTTTTGCTCACTTACTTTGCACATCATCATCATTTCATCGAATTTGTGTCCAATGATTAAATAATGATGACTTGGCTGCACGCAATCGCCAATCCAATGTGATTGAGTAGTTTTTGTAAATAGAGAATATTCTTAGGAAAAAAATTAAAGTAAAATTTGATATTCAATGAATGATGATTATTTCTTCAAATTATGAAATGCTTTTACTTTTTTTTGTTGCGAACATCGCATCACATCTGAACATGTTTTCACGTTTTCTTCAAACATACATAGTTGATTACCTGGGTGAATTGGTGTTTTGTTTATCTGAATCTCTGGTTGAATCTAGATTGTTATTAGATTTGTGATGTGGATGTGAAACATACATTGATACTCGCTCAATAACAAATAGTATAGAGGCTAACTGAAATAGTACTCACGTTCCAGATATGAATGATGATGTGATGTTGGTGGTGATATGTGATATCTGGTTTTGTTTTTGTTTGTTTATTTCGTTTGTTGTTTGTGTGTTTGTTTTGTTTTCAGTTTCAGTTTCACATCATTATCATCATCACATCACACGAATTTTCAAACAAAAACAAAAACATACTACCAATAATTGGCCTAATTACTTTGAGAATGAAACAAAAATCTTGTGTTAAAAGTGACTATGAGAGACAAAGGTCTATGACATTTTAAATTAGATACACATCCCCATATTGAACACGAAAAATGAAATGAACAACAACAATCAAAAAATGAAAATTTCTGTTATTTTTCCCATTGATGATGATGATAAACGTAAGAAAAGAAGAAAGAAAATCTTATTCGTTTTTTCCGACTGACAGCAACATATACCATACATAATTTTCACATCTGTTTGTTTTTATGATACTTATGATTTTCTTGCCCGATATATTGTCTTATCTTTGGTTCGCAACATTTTTGTGATTAGCACCCATGTGAAAGTTGTTTGTTTGTTTGTTTTTGATCCATTATTTGATTAGAGGAAAATTTCGCTGTGTTCAACCTACAAAGTTTTGGTTTTTGATTTTTTGTCTGAAATCCTTTTTATATTTCATTTCATATTGAATCAATAATAATAAAATTAGGTTAAAAAATCACCCACAAAGAAAAAAGGTCAACTTCGATCGATCGAAATCTGGACATTTTATTTGTTCAATAAATATTGACCTGAAAAATGTCGGTTTTTCTCGCGCCCAGAAAAATATTTTTGGTTAAATAAATATAGGGTTATGATGATGCAAAACGCCCTTCATTTTTTAAAATTAGTTTTTCTCGGTGTTTTGTGGGAAAATCTGATTTTACTTTAAACTAACTGATTATGATTATCATCATCATGATTAGGCCAACTATAGACACAAAAAAAAATCCAGCTAATCATTCATCTGTATTTTCATAATAGAAATTCATCATCATTTTTTTCGTGATTTGCATCCGAAAAAAAGATGCAAAATTCGATTCAATGCTCCACCTTTTTGCTTAAAGCGAGCCAATTTTTTCCGTTTGTTTGTTTGCTTGACACAATCGCTTCCAGTCCAGGATTTGTTGATGATGGTAAATGATCACCCTTTTCGCCATTATCATCATTTTGTAATTTGAAACGCCATCAAAGAAATTTATCATTCATTTTTACTTTATCCGGGTTTTTCAATTCAATTTCATATCTTTCAATTGAAATCTGAACCAATTTTTTGATATATAAAAATAGCCATTCTGTCAAACGGTCAGCACCTCGAACTGATTCATATCTTTTAAATCTTTTTTTCGTATACGGAAAATCTTAGCTAAAATGCTGAATATTTAGGAGATTTTTTGATATTGCTGACAAAAGCAAATAATAACAATGTTTGTTTGTTTATCATTGCATTTGATCGATCCAAAGATCAAAAAATTTTCTTGCACAAGAAAATATCATCATGATGGTTGTTGTTTACACGTGTCTGACGTAACCAAAACGATTGTTTGTTGATATTTTTAGGTTGAAACAATGTGACATCACATGATATGATGATGATGAAGCAAGCATATTTCATTGTTATATTCTCTTCTTATAATAATCATATTAATAATGATTTTCCTCGGCTTGTTTGGCTGCTCTTTGAACCGTTTCGTTTTGTTGTTTGTTCTTGAATTTATTTTTGTCAAACAAAATTTATCAAACCAACCAGAATTCACATTTCGGCTATAACAAAAAAAAATATTCCTTGTCTTTGTCAGTCAGTGTTGTGTAATACTTGTTTCCCATGAAAATATCTAAATGATAATTCTTTGTTTGCTCTGGTTGGTTGAAATCAATGAATTTTTTTAATTTTCTTAAAATAGAACATGGAATTTTCTGAGCATAATGATGAACAACAATCAACATCATTAACTTCAATGTGCAGAAAATATCCTTGTTTTTTTAAATCGACAATTTTACTTTTACATTGCCCATGCGTTTTTCTAATTTATTCGGCGAAAAAAATGAAATATAAAAAACAAAATTTAATGCAAAAAATACCTGCCACCTTTTTTCCAATTTTTCTCTGGCTGATCTAAAATAATAATAATATAGAGCAGCTGTATGATATCTATTGATGATCTAATCTGATCGTGTGTTGTTTTTGTTTTCATCGATTCATTTTCAAATATCACTAACTTTCTCTTTTTTCAAAAAAAGTTGTAAACTTGCACACACGATCATTATCTAATAATAATGATGGATTGATAATTACATCACAGACATTTCTCGTCATAGGATCCTGATGATGATGATCTAATATCTGGATGTTTTAATGAACAAAAACATCATATGAACAGAGTGTGAAAATATTTTTGGTTGTTCGAAGCCTCCATTGTTTTTCGTCGTTGATCAATTTCCTGATTTCAAAAAAAATTTACCGGATTTTTTTTCTGAACCGATTAAATTAATGATTTTCTCTTCTCTCATACTTTCACCCAAACATACAAAAAAAAACATTATGAAAATATCTCAAGGAAATAATCTTTTAAGATGTTGTGTGTGAAATTTTTTGTTGTTCCAGTTGATTTTGTTTGTTTGTTTGTCCACCCGGCTTTGATAATTCAGGTCATTTTGATACCGGGAACAACAACAAAAAAAGTTCGGTGTTTAATTCAGGATTTGTGTCGAATGAAAAAAGTATTTCATTTTCCATTATCATAATAATCATAACTTTTTTCAAAAGAAACTTTTTTTCAATTGAAAAGCAGCGATTTATGCATATTTGGTTGCTTGAATGAAACCAACCAACACACAATTCATGTTCATTTTATTTTATTTTGTTAAATGATGATTATTATTATGATGATGATGCGTATAAAATATTATTATTAATGGTGGTAGCTAAACCATAAAAATTGTGATCGTGTTGTTTGGTTGGCCACCGTGATCTGAGAATTTTTTTCCCATTTTCTTCCGTCGTTTTCCTATTCAAATATCTTTTCGTTTTTTTTCTGGCTACTGGATTTTTTTTCTCTTTTTTTGCCTGTGATAATGATGATAATAATTTTCAATGATGATTCTTAATTCGTTTGTCTCGAATTTTTTTCGGTTTTGTTTTTCATTTGGTGAACTTTTATTGATGATTACCATCGAATTCCTATCCAAATTTTTGTCTACACAAATATAAATGAATAATGATGGCGGTCAGCCAATGACAATAATGGTATTCAATATTTAGCACAAGTTGGTCAGCCAAACTACAATACGCAGGTATCATAGTGTCTTATGATGTGTTAACTGGACATTTCGCTTTTTTTATTTAGTCGAATGATGATGAATCTCTGATAGTTGGGATAGATAAACATTATAACAACAAAATAATATTGTATTCATATTTTTCGTGTGTGAATATTAATCAAAAACAATAAACAAAAAAAACTCGACTGAATGAATGAAAGAATAGTGTGTGGTACATTAATATTAATTATGTATTTTCTTCTTTGGATCATAGTGGTAATCATTATTCGGAATGGAATTTGCAAAAAATACTTTACTTTTTTTCTTGGCTGGCTGGCTTGGTAGAATATACACGACCACCCACATTACAAACACACACAGCAATCATCTTTTGTACTAATTAGTTAGTTTTGCAGATGAAAAACGTGCTAGGGCTGCTGCCAGTTTCTTCTTCTTCATTTCGAGGTGTTCTATTTATCTCGAAAGTGTTTTTTCCATCATCAATTCTTTCTTTATATGATATGTGTGTGTGTGCGTGTCGGTCGTCAATGAATCCTGAATTCTCTGAGTGTATTGTTCTTTTTGTTCGGGTGCCCAATATCCATAGAGAGAACACAGTGAATGAATTGCTTGAAACTCACATTCATTTTTGTTCGATTCATTTACATTTTCATAATAATAATGAATGAATGATAATAATATCTATGCAGATATTGCTGGTTAAATACAAGTATACATTACTTCTCTTCGGGTAAGAAAATTACCTAGTCTATTTGGAATTGGAATATATTATTCATTTTGAGTTATGCTTATGACTTTTTTTGCACGTTAATTTTCGATTGTTTATTTGTTTTTGGTCGAAAATTTTCTCTAAGTGAAAGTTTGAATTAAGATTCGCGTTTTGTTTTTATTTTTGATAAAATTAGCCACACATCGTCCATGTGAAAAAAATGTCAAAATGATGATTTTCTGTTTAATTTGTGAGAAATTTTTCTTGTCAAATTCATTTTAGCATAGTTTTTGCTTGCAAATATGTTTAACTCACGCACACAGCAAATTATTTGTGTGTGTGTGACATACAGACACAGATTTTA